TCCTTTTGAAGAAGCTGTTGATCCGAAAACTTATCAAAAGCAAATACGGCAGATTGGACTTCTGCTGAAATGTTCTGGCCTTCTAAACAACCGCGATTTATCCGTTGATAGGTTAGCTTTCGTTTGGGATGATATAACTTTTTACTTTGAATGTGAACGACATCTGCGAATATCTAAATTTAGAAAGATATTTTGCAGGTCATCGATTTTGGATGTAATGACTAGTCCTTTGGAAAAGAGATTTCAGTATCATTTCTTTCTGGAGCAGAAAACTAATGATCTTTCGAAGCCGGAATGGTTTTTCACACAAATTTTGAACTGGATCAATGCAAATATTGATTTTATCAGTGCGCTTTGGCGGCAGATTTCCAGGCATAAGGTAGATATTGAGGAAATTTTTATTTTCTCTTATTTTAGTGCAGTGAACATGAACTTTTTGTTTCCATGTACATTTTCAATCGTCGCCACTGGGAAGATTTTTTTCTCCCCGTTGTGAATTTAACTGTTTAGATTGGAGATCAGGAGATCTAATAAGCAATAGTGTGAAATAAAAGATACTATAAATTAAAAACATGTTCTGCCCATTGGATTTCGTACATAATCACTTTAAAATTACAGTTCTCTTGCGTAGGATGAGTATATTTTTAAGAGTAATAATTTAGTGACACTTATTAAAAATGTTAAAAGTGCTTGGATAGTCGTTATAAGTAACCTGTGTTAGTGATGTTACGAATATGTTTTCGACTATGACAGATCGTTGGTTCCTTGTCTGTATTCCTCCAGTTAGCACCCACCGCCTGTTCGATGTATGTGCGTTATGAGAAGGTTCCCCGGAGCACTTACTTTCTCATAAGTACCATTCCCCAGTGCGTTGCGGTCAGTAATTGTCGACAGGGTGAGCAACGTGCCCTGTCCATCGGGTTCTGCTTCCACGTGTGATTGCACCACTGATATCCTGCGCTCGATTTTTTAAAGGAATCTGTTTTCTTCTGTTGTCACAAAAAGATATACCGAAGGTTCTTTCTGTATCGCTGTTTTTGTCGAATTTTTTGCTTCCAGTTGGATTTTATACTGCTTCAGCTCTTCTACTTCTACTACTTCAGCATTCGCTTCAGCTTTCTAGCAGTCAATTTTCTAGTTCGGTCAGTGCCCATGGTTTTTTTTTCTCCATCTGTCTTTGCCATAATTAAATGCCAGAAACTAAAAAGAGCTATGGAAAGCGAGGAGTAGGGATAATTGAGCCTCATTGCATGTAGGCTGTTTTCATGTGTGTATTTTCCGCGCTGTGCTGCTTATCACCAGATTTTTAGGATGAGCAAACAGAAATGCTGAATTTGTATGTTGAAAAATTGCTATGGCTAACTAGAAAGAAGGTTCGGAGCACAGCGAGTAAAGTGATAAACAACGTTGAGCTATTCTCTCATCTCATCGATGAATGTGTTGCTTTTGAGAATGAATTACAAGGTAAC